CCAGAAAAGATTGAATTTTTTGCAAATTTTGAGAATCAAATTGCTTGAAAATTATAGTAAAGCGTTACTTATTGTTTTCTTTTTTAAACTATTGGATTAATACTTTTACACTACATGTGAAATCTTATAATTTTACATATTATCGGTTAAAATTTTGCTTAAAGATCAATTAAAATGCTGAAATAACTCAATTTTCAATATAGAGAAAATTTAATAATGCAAATTAAACAAATATAAAATAATAAATATTGACAAAAAAGAGAACGTAATTTTATTTAATAAATATGAAAAAATTTAATTCAAAAGTGAAAATTGAAGGGAAAAATGATATGCATTAGCATGTAAAATTTCACACGGATTGAAATTTTAACTTTATTTTATAAATTAGATGAAAATTTCAGTCGTAAATTTGCAGTTGACATTAATGATAAAATGATTTCATTCGAAAGAAATCACTATATTGTAATCTTGATCATTGCCAAAATTATGTTTCATTCTTTTAGTATTTAGAAAAACTGTAATCAACGTTCTAAATTTCAAATGCATTTCAAAACATTGGTCTCTCCAGAAAAAGAGACTGCTGTGCTCGTCTTTGAGTTGTTTAAGCTAATTAAACTGCTTGTGACATATTTTTAGCATTTTGAATAAGATTTATAGGATTTATAAATAAAAAAGAATTTTAACTAAACTTTATTCTAATCGTTTTATCAAAGTAATCACATTTATTGATTAACGTAATCATACTCATCACATAATTCTTTCATTCTCTTTCAATATATTCTGAAATAAATTTGCTGAAGCTTTGTCAATAATTTCATTTTGGCTGGTAAATTAAATATTTAAACTTATCGCTTATTGCCAGCATATTATAATAACTAATTATTTACATCAAAACAGTAGGTTTATCATTTGCCAGAACATATCAAAATTTCACTACAAACTAATTGATATATTAATTATCAACAACCAAATTGTATATTTCAATCTAACAAAATGGCTACTCTCTCATCGAGAAACAAATCAAGATAAGACTGATCATCCAATAATATGGGAAGATCACCTGACTGTATAAAGATGAATGATAAATGATAAATAAATAATCAGGAAGAGTTAAACCGAAAACGAAAATTCATTTCTAAATCATTTGAAAGAATATATAAAAAGATTAGTTCAATAAAATACAATCATAAAATACAATTTTCTTAGCCTATAAAGCACAATATTACGAGCTTCGAAAGATGTCCAAGTTATCGTTTCATTCTGCTTAAAAAAATTTCTTCTATTCAAATATTCAGAAAAAAAAACTTATTTAAATCCAATAAGAATAATATTCACATAATAATTAGCGAAAAGTGAAAATTTTGAAATAACGATTTCCTTCAAATTCTTCCAAAACTCAAACTTTTTTTAAAGTTTCGCCAAGAAAATTCTCAACGATTCATCGATTAACAATCAAGACTGATATGATTTTTGAAAATTTGAAAATTTTCGATTAGCTAAAGCTAACGATTAAAAAATAAAATTATCCTTGAAAATCTCGAAATTTTTAATTAATTGAATTCAAAGAGTAAAGATGAAGTCAATCAATCCCGAAAAAGTTAGAAATTTTCTATCAATTATTAACCAATTTATCTTTTATGCTGCAAAATGCAAAATTCGTGAAAGTTTAAAAAAGCTATGGAAATTGTGCCGTATGTTACAGCGCAATATTCCTCTGAAAGTAATATCGAACTTGGAAGTATTTGTCTGTCTATGCATGTCTTCATGTGTGTGTGTGTGTGTGTGTGTGTGTGTGTGTG